TTTAATCACTCTTATTTTTTTACATTTTAATTATTATTTCTTATTATTTTTGACTTATTTTTTATTACTTTTTACATTTTTACTTTTCTTACCTTTTACTTTTTTTTATATCTTGTTAATTGTTTTACTTATTTTTTAAATTCTTATTTTATTTTATTATTTTTATTATCAATTTTTTTATGTTTGTACATTTAGCCCTGTTTGCCCGAAGCCGGGCTAAATGTAGAAAAAAAACTGCCCGCCCAGCAGCTGTGCTGCCCCTCTACTCCCTGCTGCCCCGAGGTCAGGGCCCCGGTGGCCTTGTGGGAAATCCAGCACCTGTATGGAACATTGAACAAGCCGCCATAAGGTCAGCCCGGGTCACCAGCAGGTATCACAGCGTCTGGCCTCAGGTAGAAGAAGGGGTGTCTGTGCTGGGAGTACGGGGCGGCCGCTTCCTGATTGTGGCATTTGAGGGGAAAAGACTGTTTTTTGGTAGGCTATGTCTATGGTGGAGATGGTTTATTTGGGTATCTATACAGCTCCTCCAGGAGGCTCTACACTCATAGCTCTAAAAGGGGCCCCTTATATCTGGGGTACAGCGTTATCTGTCACCCTAAATCTGGGGTAACAAGTTATCTCCAGTGGGGGATGGGAGCTTCCCCCGTGGCTGTAATCTGGGGTAACAAGTTATCTCCAGCGGGGGATGGGAGCTTGCCCCGTGGCTGTAATCTGGGGCAACAAGTTATCTCCAGTGGGGGATGGGCGCTTGCCCCGTGGCTGTAATCTGGGGCAACAAGTTATCTCCAGTGGGGGATGGGCGCTTGCCCCGTGGCTGTAATCTGGGGCAACAAGTTATCTCCAGTGGGGGATGGGCGCTTGCCCCGTGGCTGTAATCTGGGGCAACAAGTTATCTCCAGTGGGGGATGGGCGCTTGCCCCGTGGCTGTAATCTGGGGCAACAAGTTATCTCCAGTGGGGGATGGGCGCTTGCCCCGTGGCTGTAATCTGGGGCAACAAGTTATCTCCAGTGGGGGATGGGCGCTTGCCCCGTGGCTGTAATCTGGGGCAACAAGTTATCTCCAGTGGGGGATGGGCGCTTGCCCCGTGGCTGTAATCTGGGGCAACAAGTTATCTCCAGTGGGGGATGGGCGCTTGCCCCGTGGCTGTAATCTGGGGCAACAAGTTATCTCCAGTGGGGGATGGGCGCTTGCCCCGTGGCTGTAATCTGGGGCAACAAGTTATCTCCAGTGGGGGATGGGCGCTTGCCCCGTGGCTGTAATCTGGGGCAACAAGTTATCTCCAGTGGGGGATGGGCGCTTGCCCCGTGGCTGTAATCTGGGGCAACAAGTTATCTCCAGTGGGGGATGGGCGCTTGCCCCGTGGCTGTAATCTGGGGCAACAAGTTATCTCCAGTGGGGGATGGGCGCTTGCCCCGTGGCTGTAATCTGGGGCAACAAGTTATCTCCAGTGGGGGATGGGCGCTTGCCCCGTGGCTGTAATCTGGGGCAACAAGTTATCTCCAGTGGGGGATGGGCGCTTGCCCCGTGGCTGTAATCTGGGGCAACAAGTTATCTCCAGTGGGGGATGGGCGCTTGCCCCGTGGCTGTAATCTGGGGCAACAAGTTATCTCCAGTGGGGGATGGGCGCTTGCCCCGTGGCTGTAATCTGGGGCAACAAGTTATCTCCAGTGGGGGATGGGCGCTTGCCCCGTGGCTGTAATCTGGGGCAACAAGTTATCTCCAGTGGGGGATGGGCGCTTGCCCCGTGGCTGTAATCTGGGGCAACAAGTTATCTCCAGTGGGGGATGGGCGCTTGCCCCGTGGCTGTAATCTGGGGCAACAAGTTATCTCCAGTGGGGGATGGGCGCTTGCCCCGTGGCTGTAATCTGGGGCAACAAGTTATCTCCAGTGGGGGATGGGCGCTTGCCCCGTGGCTGTAATCTGGGGCAACAAGTTATCTCCAGTGGGGGATGGGCGCTTGCCCCGTGGCTGTAATCTGGGGCAACAAGTTATCTCCAGTGGGGGATGGGCGCTTGCCCCGTGGCTGTAATCTGGGGCAACAAGTTATCTCCAGTGGGGGATGGGCGCTTGCCCCGTGGCTGTAATCTGGGGCAACAAGTTATCTCCAGTGGGGGATGGGCGCTTGCCCCGTGGCTGTAATCTGGGGCAACAAGTTATCTCCAGTGGGGGATGGGCGCTTGCCCCGTGGCTGTAATCTGGGGCAACAAGTTATCTCCAGTGGGGGATGGGCGCTTGCCCCGTGGCTGTAATCTGGGGCAACAAGTTATCTCCAGTGGGGGATGGGCGCTTGCCCCGTGGCTGTAATCTGGGGCAACAAGTTATCTCCAGTGGGGGATGGGCGCTTGCCCCGTGGCTGTAATCTGGGGCAACAAGTTATCTCCAGTGGGGGATGGGCGCTTGCCCCGTGGCTGTAATCTGGGGCAACAAGTTATCTCCAGTGGGGGATGGGCGCTTGCCCCGTGGCTGTAATCTGGGGCAACAAGTTATCTCCAGTGGGGGATGGGCGCTTGCCCCGTGGCTGTAATCTGGGGCAACAAGTTATCTCCAGTGGGGGATGGGCGCTTGCCCCGTGGCTGTAATCTGGGGCAACAAGTTATCTCCAGTGGGGGATGGGCGCTTGCCCCGTGGCTGTAATCTGGGGCAACAAGTTATCTCCAGTGGGGGATGGGCGCTTGCCCCGTGGCTGTAATCTGGGGCAACAAGTTATCTCCAGTGGGGGATGGGCGCTTGCCCCGTGGCTGTAATCTGGGGCAACAAGTTATCTCCAGTGGGGGATGGGCGCTTGCCCCGTGGCTGTAATCTGGGGCAACAAGTTATCTCCAGTGGGGGATGGGCGCTTGCCCCGTGGCTGTAATCTGGGGCAACAAGTTATCTCCAGTGGGGGATGGGCGCTTGCCCCGTGGCTGTAATCTGGGGCAACAAGTTATCTCCAGTGGGGGATGGGCGCTTGCCCCGTGGCTGTAATCTGGGGCAACAAGTTATCTCCAGTGGGGGATGGGCGCTTGCCCCGTGGCTGTAATCTGGGGCAACAAGTTATCTCCAGTGGGGGATGGGCGCTTGCCCCGTGGCTGTAATCTGGGGCAACAAGTTATCTCCAGTGGGGGATGGGCGCTTGCCCCGTGGCTGTAATCTGGGGCAACAAGTTATCTCCAGTGGGGGATGGGCGCTTGCCCCGTGGCTGTAATCTGGGGTAACAAGTTATCTCCAGCGGGGGATGGGAGCTAGCGCACATCCTTCCAGTGAGTGTCCGGTGTACCCGGTCTGTGTGAACAGAAGCACAATATGGGGCCCCCCCGTACACGCATCAGGTTCAGGGGCCCCTCCAATACACAGCAGATGGGTCCTAAGCGCCCGATGCGGTAGGTGGAGCTCGGCTGTTCATTCTGAGAACACGGGACCGCCTACTATAGAAACGGAGCAGTGCCGGGGGAGGGGGTCACAGCACGACAATACACAAGGGGAAGTATCCCTTCCGGGCCCCCTGAACCAGAATCTTCCCTTCCAGGGTCCAGTTGGTGTTGGGATACAGAGGAGTAATGACCTCTGACCCTTGCAGAAGACTCTAGCCTTGGGAAGTATGGACGCTGTCACTTTAAGAGACATCATTTGAACTGTCTGTTTTGCCCTTTAACAACCAATCACATTGCAGTCTGTGCTGGAAAGTGCTGGACAGTGAAAGATTTC